GATGGCCTATTATTCCATAAATATAAAGTTTCTTCAGAAGTATCTTGTGGTTTACAGTGTCGAAAGCCTTAACTAGGTCAATGAAAGCAGCACATGTGAATAGTTTTTTCTCCATATTTGATTGTATAGTACTGACGATGTCAAGGACAGCATGATGTGTAGAATGGCCCTTTCGAAATCCATATTGAAAATCAGTTAAGATATTACTGCTATCAACAAAGTTTAACAATCTATTATACATGCATTTTTCGAAAATCCTATTAAATAACGGCAATAACGAAATAGGACGATAATTGCAAGGATCAGTRTCATCATCAGCTTTGTGAATTGGGATGATCTTAGAGCTCTTTAGTCTTGTTGGGTATCGACCTGTCTTAACAGATAAATTCATTAGCTTAGCTAAGTGTATACTAACAATATGTCTTGATGATTTTAAGAAATTCACAGGGCATGAGTATAAGCCAAAGGCTTTGTTATTGGACAATGATAAGATTTCTTTTTCTATCTCTGTCTTCGTAACTGGAATAAAATAAAAAGAATGAGGCTGGTCAACTTGCTTTAGATATTCCGTGAATTCTATCTTTGCTTCTGGTAATATTTTGGAAAGATTTTCTCCAACTGACGCAAAATATCGGTTAATGATCTCAGGTAATTTTTCAGGAGCAGTAGTTAATTTTCCATTCCTAGAGTGATCCCTTAAAGCAGAGATTGGTTTTGTTTGCTTCTGTTTATTGTGTAATAAAGAATTAATACCTAACCATGTTTTCCTAGTATTTTTTAGGTTATTTACAAAAAAGGATTCAAAGTACGATTTTTTGCTGATGCGGATAAGTGTAACTAATTTGTTTCTGTAATAGATATATCTTTCCCTCTTTCCAGACATGAAAAGTTGATTTTTAATTTTTATTGATTCACGGATTCCGTTAGTAATCCAAGGTTTAGAACTTTTCTTTAATTTTCGTTTGTTTAAGATTTTTATTGGTGCGACTTTATTGACGGTATTATTTATTTTTTTATACAGTATTGAGAAGACCTTATCTATATTTTCAGGCTCAGTAAAAGCAATATCAAAGTTTATTTTTGAGAGTTCTTTYACGAAATCATTTTCCGCAGATTTAGAGAAACATCTCACCTTTGTCTTACAACGTTTGAGGTTGTCTTTTCCAGAAGGCATTATACAAAATTGAGAAAAGTGATCAGTAATGTCCGAAACAATATTTCCACTACATATCCAAGGAACAGGGTTATTTGTGAGGATATTGTCTATTAGAGTTGCTGAATTGCTGTAAACTCGAGTGGGTTTATCAATCGTAGGAAATAGATACCAGCTTTKTAGCAAGAGAAGAAAACTCTCAGAGAAATTGCATCTTTCAAATTTAAGTAAATCTAGGTTGAAATCTCCAAGGACATAAATATGTTTTCCTTTTGAGCTATACTTGTCTAAGGCATTATCAAAATAAGATAAGAAGGTATCGGGGGACTTTTGCTGTCTATAAACAGCTCCTCAAATAACATTCTTTTTGTTGTTCAACTGAATTTCAATCCACAGTGATTGAAAAGATTCATTTGAAGTCTTTTCCAACACTGAGTAATTAAGCCATTTGTTAACATATAAACCAACACCCCCAGCGGATAGGGGGAGTTGGTACGTATTCAAAAGCAAAATTTGGAATATTCAAATTTATAGATAAAGGCAAGTTTGTTGTTCTTATTTTGGTTTCAGATATTGTTTCAGAACAGGCCAGGACAAAACTTAGGCAACGTTTTGGTAGATCGGCGATTGTCGCAACCGACTTTGAGAGAAAGTTAACAAATTCGCCTAAAATTGGAAACCATGATGCCCAGGGCTTAAGAGACTTTAGTGATTTMMTTGAGCATGTAGCCATCGCCAGCGTGCACATGAACTCCCTGAAAATATTTGAATATCCATCAAAGTTGCAGTCCCTCGTCGAGAAATTACCACCTTAGTTTCACGCAAAATGGTCTACTGAGGCTCAAAACCTGCAAMAAGAAAGGGGATGTGATGTTTTCCCAAGMTWTTCAGACTTTGTCCGTCAAGTGACTTACCACGCACACCGCATGAACATCCCACAAATCACAAGACAAAGCACCCAAACTAACAATCCTGGACAGCACTCTGTAACTCAACTAAACTCAGCAAAGCTTCTGCGCCGAAGGCAGCCCGGAACATCSATAACCCTAGCCACGAAGCTGACTGCGCCAAAACCTAAATCTGACAATACACGGATCAAGCCGGCAGAAGAGAAGACACTGGCCGACAAAACCCCCTTCTGTCATTTCCATAAAAAGAGAACACACTATTAACAGCTGCAAAAWTATGCTACAAGTGTGCAACCTATGAAGAACATTTGGAAGGTAACTGCAAAGAAGCTCCAACTGAATGCAGCAAATGTCAMAAACAACACCTTACAGCACTCCACGACGATTCTGTCACTAAGCAGGCGTCAGCCAGTCACTTGAGTAAATCGTATTACCATACATTTTGGTAATGAAACAAGCGGTCCTAACCACGAAAATTCAAAGAGTCAAGCCATTGCTAAACCACCCTTCGTAAACGCAGTCTCAACAAAGGACGTCACCACCCCAAAACAACTACGCGAAATGATGATACTGGATTACAGTGAATTCAAACACTCCCGCAAAATACCCGGAACAGAACAAGTCGCATCCATTGAAGACAAATGCTTTATTGAAATAATAACAGAAGGAATACACAAGAACACCAACGAMAAATGGGAAGCACCAGTACCCCTTAGAGAAGACGATTTCACAATTCCAAGACTGACTATTTGACATTCATGCAGAAGATCTTCGATCGTGGTCATGCAAGCCTTGCCCCAGCCGAACGTATACGCCCATAGATTGGCAAAGTGTGGTACCTACTGCACTTTAATGTATATCACCCTAACAAGCCAGACCAAATCAGGGTGGTATTCCACTTTAGTGCGATCTACGAGAACGAATCTCTTAATAAGCTTACAAAGATCAACTTAATTCTCTAGTGGGTACTTACAAGATTCCGCAAGGAAGAAGTTGCCTTCATCTGTGACATTGAACAAATGTTCCACAGCTTCTTCGTCTCTCCTGAACACAGAAGATCGTATCTTAGATTCCTGTGGTTCTTAAATAATGACCTCGCTGGGGCCATTGTAGAATACCAAATGGACGTACATTTGGCGCAACCTCTTCGCAAGGTGTAGCCAACTTCYGTCTGCACCAAACCGCTGAAACGTACAGAGATGAGTACGGAGAAGACGCAGCAAACTTTCTCCGCCGAGACTTCTACGTGGACGATGSCCTAAAGTCTGTACCTACAATAGAACAAGCGACCAACATCATAAAAGAAACCCAAAAGATGTGTTCAGCAGCCAATCTGCGTTTGCACAAATTTGCAAGCAACAGAACAGAAGTTCTTGAGTCCATACCAGCCGAAGACCGCGCTCAAGATCTCAAAGATTTGGATCTACGAAAAGACACCATCCCAATTCAAAGATCTCTTGGTACATATTGGTGCATAGAATCGGATACCTTCGGGTTCTGCATAGAATTGAAAGACAAGCCCTTGACTCGTCGTGGAATCCTCTTCACTATAA